CTTCATCCACCCGGGATTCGTCGTCATCACCACCAGTTTCCCTCCTTTTCGCCTTCTTCTCCCGTATCATCAACTCAGCGTCGTTCCGTGGCCGGCCATAGCCCCCTATTGGCCCAGCACACCCTGCGGGAATTGCCGACGTAGCGGCGAACGGAGAACCCCAAAATTCCAAAGGCCCAACCCAAACACGCAGCGGCCTGCGCCACACGGCAGCCCCCGACGTCCCAACTTTTCGGGGCCGCCTCCTCCGTGTAGGAACTTCCCCGTAAACCGTCACCCGCAATACCCCGGCCCCATCAGGCCTTGAGTCCCTTGCGCACGAGCCCCTTGTTCGCCTAATTGCATTCATACCCTTTAGACTCCCCCACTTTCCCAAAAGTCCTTGGCACACCCCTTCTCGCACTTCCAGGCCCACACCCCACTCCGATCAGGAAGTTGCGCCGGGCGTGAGGTTGGGCGTCACATAGTGTGCCCGAATGGCTAAGTTGTGGCTTTTGGGCCTCGTATGTACGATGAATCCTTGCATGCCTATGTTTATTTGTGTGTGAGTGTGTGTGTTTGTTTCTTTGTGTGTGTGTGTAGGTGTGTGAGAGAGAGTGTGTGTGTGTGTGACTCGCTTGTTTTGTCATGCATTGCCTGTGAAACACACCTGTTGCAAGCGTCGTTTCGACTTGGGCGCAACTGCTGTCTGGACCGCACCCTCCTACGGCCACACACCGGTCCATCCGAGTGTCACTAGGAGTGGGACGTACGCATAAGACCGGTCCCTTGAAACGCTTACCTACAGGTATGGCCTCCTTAATGGAGGGCCTGCTTCTACACACGAGGAGGAGGAGGAGGAGGAAGAAGAAGAAGAAGAGGAGGAGAAGGGGGAGAACGAGGAGGAGGAGGAAGAAGAAGAACAGGAGGAGGAGGAAGCAGAAGAAGAGGAGGAAGAGGAATATGAGGAGGGGGCATTGACGATGGAGGAAGAGGAAGAGGAGGAAGAAGAGGAGGAGGAGGAGGAGGGAGAAGAAGAGGAGGAGGAGGAAGAGAAGGAGGAGGAGGAGGAGGAGAAGGAGGACGAGTCAGTGGAAGAGGAGGAATGGGTCGTGGCGATGGAGGCCAAGGAGGAGGAGGAGGAGGAAAAAAAAGAGCAGTAGGGTGAGGAGGAGGTCGAGGAGAAGGAGGATGTCTTTTAATTTTCACCACAACCTTTGATGATTTTTCTTTTCTTTTTGATAAATTCAAATTGACTGAAAACTTATAAGGGTATACCTCACTTCTCAAAGAACCCACAAGAATTGGAGAGCATTTCTTTACTCTTCCATCTTTGGCGATTTTTAGTTTTTTTTTCACTCATCAAAATGCYGCAAAATTTATGGGCATATGCCTTAGAGATGTTCATCCGCATCAACGCCTGCCGTGTGCCCCGCCCCCAGGGTGCGCTCTCTMGTTTAATGGCACGCTGTGAACATTTCGGTATGCGCACCTCTCTGCACGCTCCTCCGCCCTCGATCGCCTTCATCCACCGGCCCTCACCAAAACTTCAACCAGAATCYGGCGCGCAGCGGACCATTCTTATGTCACATATTATTAATTGGCTTTCTGCCATGTCATGGAACATATCTTTTTTCCTTTCACTGCCAACCACTACTCCTAAGGCTACCATACAGCGGACCCCTGCTAGCATGGCTTTCTACCTCTCTTTGGTGARCGTATGGTTGCCCCTTTGCCCTAGCGTTTGGGGTGCAGGGTTGGGGCCGCCAGTGGGGCCCCGGCTAACACAAGGACMGGGCATATGCCAGTAACTGTGCCTCCCTTTTCATCTTTCCCCAACCCCATCCAGTAACAGTAGTGGACTACTAGTGTCTAAAGCCAACACTCTCCCACACATCACATGCAAGCCACTCACACGCGCATTCACACCCGTGCTAGCTGAAGACCTTACTAATAYCCACTGGAAGGATCCAGCTGACTATCTAAGTTGGTTGGCACCGAGTGTGCCACACGAGACCATGGGGATTGAACCCACGACCTCCTGAATGCCAGTTGYGTGTGCCGCTTTCCCCATTTAGATGGCTCCATTCTATTAGCGTCGGGAAAAAGAGAGAAAAAAAWACACCAGTACATTTCAGAGGCTGCCTGCATGAGCAGAACTCCTCCATGTACATCTGCTGCATTCTGTCAGCATGACGTCTGTTCGACAACAGCTGGAAGTGCGCAATGATTCTCATCACGTCATGCAGATGTTCCTTTTCTTTGAAAAAGCAGGCAGCCCCTAACACGATTGTATCTGCCTGATTATTGCCAGGGTCTGTTTATGAA